TATTTATTTGTAATAAGTGGCAATCACCTAAAGGCTATTCTTTAAACTTTAAAAATTATTAATACAAGTGCAGGGCCAGGAAAATTTTTTCATAGATCCAAATATCAGAATGCAAATATCATATCAGACCGAGCATTCAAAAAGAATATGAATCCCTGGCTGGTGTTGCACAGTGGGTTGATCATTGTCTGGTGCACCTTAGGGTCGCTGTTTTGATTCCCAGTCAGGGCACATGCCCAGGTTGCAGGCTCCATCCCTGGTTGGGGTGCATACAGGAGGCAGCCAATGGATGTTTCTCTCTCACATCGATGTTTCTCTCTCCACTATTCCCTTACTCTCTCTCTAAATCAATAAAAACATATTTTTAAAAAGGTTATGAATATGTTATTCTAATTAATGAGTACTGATGGCAAACCACAAAAGAAGGGAACTTTAAAAAATAATACAAAATGTTTATTTTATTTTGACATTTCTCTATGCATTCAGCCTAGTAGGAATGATAATAGATTTTTTTAAAATCAATTTCAAGGCTTTGAACTAGAGCAATCTGAGTAGCAGCAGTAATGTGTTTTAAAGCACACTGCTATTTGTTTTGATTTCATCCACTGCCTTTTGAAGGAAGCTTTCTTTAGTGGAGCTGAATGGTATAGTCAAAGTCAAAGCAACAGTGAATTTTTAAAAATTTTTAAATTAAATTTATTGGGATAACATTGGTTAAAGAATTATTTAGTTTTCAGGTGTACAATTCTATTATATGTCATCTGTATATTGTATTGTGTGTTCATCACGATAAGTCAAGTCTCCTTCCATCATCATTTATCCCCCTTTTACCTTCTACCTCTCCTCACCTCCTTTCCCTCTGAAAATCACCACAGCATTGTCTGTGTCTACGAGTTTTTTCTTTGCTTAATCCCTTCACCTTTTCCCCCTAGCCCTCCAATCCTCTTCCCTTCTAACAGCTGTCAGTCTGTTCTCAGTATCTAAGAATCTGTTTCTATTTTGTTTGTTAGTTTATTTTGTTCAAAGGATTCCACATATAAGTGAAAGCATAATAACAGTGAATTTAATAACAACCTTGAATTTTATATATTATATGGTGGGACATTCTATCTCCCACAATACTCTCCAGGTTAAGTCTTGAAAAAACAAACAAACAATACCCATTTGTGCCAGGTGAGTCACTGCATTTAAGCATGCAACTGTAGTCTAGAGTTCTGTAAAAATAGCCCACCTTTGTTTCTTAATAAAGAGTTCTCAAATATATCCAGAAATTCATTTCTACTTCTCAGGCATCAATTAATTAAAAAATACATAGAAGAATACAAATTAAAGATGATTACATATAGAAAAGGTGTCTTCACCAATGATTCAAATACTTCAAACTCTGGAGCCCTTCTTCTCTGAAGGACGTCTGCCTTTGTGGGCTTTCCTGTTCATAGGAAATTCCACATACTGGAATCATGTGGATCCTCATGTCAAATGGCAGATATTTGGAAATGTGAGTCCCCTGAGAACTGAGACCACTGGCCGCCCCGTAGCTTAATTATCAATACCAAGAACTAAGCTCTCTACATCAATATGACTTTATTATCCATTCCAGGAAATGCCTGTCCAGGAATTTAAGGCCATTAACCAATAAGTAATTCCACTGTTAGCTTCAGGAACTTTCCAAAAATCCATTCATCTGAACTACAGACTAATGAACCAGCCTCTCTAGACAATAGGTCACTCAACTGGTCAACCAGTCACCTATAAATAATTGTACTTATCAAGACTCAGGCCAAGACTCTGCCCCACTAGAGCCACCAATCCTAACCATTTAAAAAAATACTCTTTCTAAAAATTAGTTGAATTTATTTTTTAAAAGCAATACATGTATATGATTGAAAATTCAAAAGGCATAAAATAGATTCTGGGAGTGGAGATGAAAACATGAAGTCACCATTTATTCTTTCTCTTCTCAGAAATCACCCCAAATCAAGAAGAAAAGTGAAAAACCGAAGTGTAAAGTCCATCTGATAACTGATAACTGCAGTGTGGAGCCACACCGGTAGAAAGAGCATGGAAGATAGTAAAGAGGTAAAGGTATGTTACCACTTCCTCATCCCTCACCCACAGAGCTGCCCTCCCCAGAGCAGTATTGGTTACCTGTTCATAACAGGTGCTTATTACCTACTAGAGGCCCAGTGCACAAAAATTTGTGCACTCGGGGTGTCCCTCAGCCTGGCCTCTGTCCTCTCGCAATCTGGGACCCCTCGGGGGATGTCCACCTGCTGGCTTAGGCCTACTCCCTCGGGGGATGTCCACCTGCTGGCAGTCCAGGAGCCCTCGGGGGATGTCCACTTGCCAGCAGGGAGCAGACCTAAGCTGCAGTTGGACATCCTTAGCGCTGCTGAGGAGGCAGGAGAGGCTCCCACCACCACCGCTGTGCTGGCAGCCATCAGCCTGGCTTGTGGCTGAGAAGAGCTCCCCCCCTGTGAGAGTGCACTGACCACCAGGGGGCATCTCCTGCATTGAGCGTCTTCCCCCTGGTGGTCAGTGTGTGTCATAGTGACCAGTCATTCTCAGTCATTCTGCTGTTAGGGTCAATTTGCATATTACCCTTTTATTATATAGGATAGAGGCATGGTGCATGGGTGGGGGCCAGCTGGTTTGCCCTGAAGGGTGTCCTGGATCAGGTGGGGTTCCCGCTAGGGGGTCTGGCCAGCCTGGGTGAGGCACTGAGGGCCATTTTCAGGCTGGCCACACCTTCTTTAGGGTGGGGGTCCCTATTGGGGTGCCTGGCCAGCCTGGGTGAGGGGCTGATGGCCACGGCTGCGGGTTGGAAGCAGGTATCTGGGATTTATTTAACTTCTATAATTGAAACTTTGTAGCCTTGGTCCGGCTCAAAGCCTGGGTTGCCCCTGGCAACCAATGTTCCCAGCCCCTCCTTGAGCGGAGGCCACTCGGGCTGGTATCTGGGATTTATTTATCTTCTATAATTGAAACTTTGTAGCCTTGAGCAGAGCTCAGGGCCAGCCAGGGCAGGCGGGAAGCTTGGCTTCCTCCATCGCCGGGGGCAACCTAAGCCTCCTGCTTGCTCCAGCTCCGTGGCCACTGCCATCTTTGTGACGGACTGACGGAGTGAGGGTGTGACAGTTAATTTGCATATTACTATTTTATTAGATAGGATTGCACATTCTGGGGAGTCCTTATCCTCCTTTTTTCTTTATTGAGATATAATTGACATATAACGTTATATTAATTTAGGTGTACAACATAATTATTTGATATTTGTATATATAGTGAAATGATCTAAACTCTTATCAAGAATTTTCTGCCCAATCTCAATCAGATATCCCTGCCTAAAGGCACTAAATTCAAATCCAAAACCTTAAAAATATCGACCCTAACTATCCCTTCTGAGACATTAGTAAGACTGCTGACGTGTTGGTTTCCCTCACTGTAATAACTATTAAATTTCACTTTGCTTGATCAACAGATTACTCAGACAACATTTTTGGGCAGTCTACATGGCAAAGGCAGATAGAAAACTGAGGATCAGATAAGTGAGTTGCTCAAGGTTATAGAGAAGCAGAACCAGACACCAGTCCAGGCCTTCTAATACCAGTCCAGTATCCTGTGTTACCCAAGATTGGGGTGGTGGTGGTGGGGTGGTGGGGCTGTTCTAACAGCATCTCCTCCCATCTTTAAATTCCTAGAGTCTTGCCCTAGCTGGTTTGTCTCAGTGGATAGAGCACTGGCCTGTGGACTGAAGGGTCTAGGGTTCGATTCTGGTCAAGGGCACATGCCTAGGTTGCAAGCTCGATCCCCAGTAGGGAGTGTGCAGGAGGCAGCCAATCAATGATTCTCTCTCATCATTGATGTTTCTATCTCTCTCTCTCCCTCTCCCTTCCTCTCTGAAATCAATACAAATATATTAATAAATAAATAAATTTCTAGAGCCTAGTGGAGGAGAGGCTCTGGAGAGAGTGAGAAGACACAGAGAGTGGTGGAAACTTTTCCTTCTTCCCCATTTTGTGTAGGGTTTTTTCAATCATTTGTCCTGAGGTGACTGTAAAGGTTTTTTTTTAATTTCTTTTGAATTTCTCTCTTTCTTTTTCTGTTTAGTTGTTGTTTCTTAAAATAAATAAATAAATAAACAGCAGAGAAAAATGCCCATGAACTCATAGACATGAACTCAATCTATTCTTGACTTTCTAATTTATGGGCTGGTTACATTATAATGCAGGCATATTATTATTATTAATTCTACTATCATTATTAGTAAAAAAAAAAAGTACAACCAAAGAAACTATCCTTTTGACATTTTGCACTTGTCCTTAATTATTGTACAGACTAGTGAGCAGAGATGAGGAAAACTTTTTACAGAAGAAAAGAGCTAAATAACTATTCTAAAGATTGAATATGTGTTCTTACAATAAATCTTAATTTTTTCCTAATTGTAGCCTCTTCTGTTCTGAGATTAACTGGATGAGAGGGCTTAAGCAGCCTCAAGTAGCTCCTTCTCATCTTGTAGTATGCTATGCTGTTGCCTCTGGGTGCCCCTCAAGCTATTGCACAAGTCTGAGGGTGCCCCTAATCCCTGATAGTCTTAACTATTTTGCTCAAGTACCCCATAAATTTTCTCTTTTTAAAACCACTTATGTACATTTACAAATCAACAATTAAATTTTGCTTTCCTTGGAGAATCTCATCCATCCAGTCCATTCAATTTTATGGCATTGGGCACCTATGAAGTCCTTTTCATTGCCAAACCAACCAGCTAAATCTCTCAGAAAAAGTCTGACTTTATTTTTCAATTCAAATAACAGCCCGTTGTGACAACCAAGTCATTTCTAAGGCTTAACTTTAAGTAGATAAATTCTTGGGAAGAGGTTTTCCAGAAATTTGTCACCCGGACAATAAGGTGCTGCCTGAAAGCCATGTGGGAATAGTCCCTGTGTTTGGCAACCCAGAGGACTTTACATTTCAGATCAATACACTACACAAAATTTCACCTTTCTTTTAGATGGATGAGTGAGAGTTTCATCTTTCCTTTGTAAACTGGGAGAGAGGTGAATGAGGAAAGGGATCTGGAAAAGAAAAAGTGGAAGATCAAATTTAAGAACGAGTTCAGAGGAAGTGGGGCTCTGGAAGAAATTGCTTCCTTCCAAGTGTCCCTGTCTACCCATACTCTGAAAGTCTCTGGGAACCCCTAGGGAAAATTCACATCAGTGGAAAGGCAGTTATTCTGCATAGGTGAATAAGGTTGTTTGGGTTCCTACTTTTGCAGGTAGATTCTGAATACAGAGTATTACAATCTCCTTGTAGGCCATTTCTGGTTGAAGCAGAATTCTCTTCCTCATGAGCACATTGACACACCTGCAGGGCTGGTCCAGCACATGATCTGTTTTGTGTGAGTTGGGGGTAGTCTTCAAGACCCTAGGAATTGGCCTGGCCATGAACTTGTCTAGTTACAGCTTGATAAAAACCCTGTAGTACCACATAGTGTTCAAGGCTGGCCTCATGGTGTTGTTGATGGTAATGCCAGAATTGAGCCAGTTGGAAGCAAATAGAAGTTGGGACGCAGGTTGTTATAAATTTGCTTAGAAGCTTTCCTGTTCCTATTTCAAGAAGACCTTTTAGGTTCATCTCTTCATATTCTGTGATGATAATATAGAAGCCCCCAAAATATTTATTCTCATTTCATAAAAGGTACTCCAATACATATTTAATCCTGTGCATGAATTGCCAGTTAACATAAAAAATAAATACATTGAATACTGTCTTGATTAGTTAGAATTGGTTTTGGCATATAAATTTCAGGTACTGTTAAAAAGTTGAAATAGTTTGTCAAATCATATATTTGCATTATTTTAAATTACAGTTATACAAGTTACAGTGAGCTACATTCTGGGGAAAATGCTTTAATGACTGTTCCTATTAATGAAGGTAGAGTAGAAGGGACTCCTTTCCCTTCACACAAGCTTGAAGAGGGCTTCCTGGTATCCATTTACCCATTTACCTTGTTGGTCATTCTACCTTCAGCTCCCAATATTTAACTGTGTCATTATGTACCAATAACTTACAAGTGCTTATGAATTTTTATAATGATCACATTACTTTATATTAGAACATAGTCTTGTAAAATACTCTTAAATGGGTGGCTTAATTTTCTTTTCTAATATTTCACTTCAAGGTAGATTTTAGATTTCAGCATTAAAATTCTATGTTTTATAAGCATTCTAAAACGAATATACTTTTGATTCTTATAGATTTTAATAAATTGATTCTTAAAAAATCAATAAATCACAATTACTTTTAAAAAGCTTACCCTTTTACTATTTTCCCCTTAGATTATGATTAGTCCTTTGGCTATCAAAAAAGACATGACTTGTAGGAATAAAAGTAAGTATTTTCACCTTTTTGTAAAAGTTTATAATTATAATTTGTGTTTAAGTACCTGAAAATAAAATAAATGGTCAATTGAGCTAGTAAAATATTACTGTTTCAGGAAAAATGTTAATAACGTATTTGACACTGTTTATAAGTAAATAGTTAACCAAACCTACTTTCTAGCAGAAAGCATATATTGATACTCGGAAATTTCGTTCATTAGAAAAGCTCTTTTTTGCTTAATATAATTCCACTGTTTTTAAACACATTGTTACCTTAAGATTTTAGTGACTGCGGTCTCCTTTTCTAGAAGATTCCTTGCCCTGATGCTGAAAACAGACTTGCGAAGCTGTAAAATTATGAGCATGACTTTAGTTTTGTAATAAAAAAGGACTAATATACTGACAAATCATTACGTACATTAAATAGATAACACTGTTAAAATATTAAACATGAATTTTTTTAAAAAGCATCATCATCCTTGGCCAGGTAGGTCAGTGGGTTAGAGCATCATCCTGATACACCAAGGTTGCAGGTTCCATCGCCGGTCAGGGCACATAGAAGAATCAACCAATGAATGCTTCAATAAGTGGAATAACAGATCAGTGTTCTCTCTCTCTCTCTCTCTCTCTCTCTCTCTCTCTCTTTCTCTCTCTAACAAAAATCAATAAAAGCATCATCATATAATTGGTTCTATCATTTAGTTTTATTTTCTACTTTTACTTTTTTTTTAAGGCAGAACTGCAAACAAGCTTGTCCAGGTATGGGAAAGATGCATTGGCTATGCTCACTAGTAATAATGTCACCTTGATAGACTATTCAGTTTCCAAAGAATTTAACACTGAAACGAATATAGGATCCCTTATTGCCATTGTTCAATAAAATGTTCTCTCTTCTGCATTGCATCTGTGTCAGGTTTTTGGCCTGAGGCTCAATACTAATCTGAATGATAAGGATGGGGAGAAATATGAATAGTTTTTGAGTTTTCTTCCAAGTTGATGATGATGAAATTATTCCAGGGAAAAGGACTAAAAAGAAAAATACTAGAGGCTGACTAAAAACTAGAAGATGCATTCCCTGAGCTCGGGCCTGCTTGATAGCTGCAGAAGTCAGATGGTGACAGGTATATAGGGAGCCAGGCAGAGAAAAGAACAAAGAAGCACACCACCCTGAGAGAGACTCACCACAGTAACTAGAAAGTGTAACTCCAGTAGTCAGACCAAAGATAATACTTGGACAAGGAGCTGGTCATTTTGTTTAGATTAGATTTCCTGGGCACTTATTGTGAGATAGACTATTAGAGATATAGGGTAACTAGGAATCAGAGTTTTTGCTTACTAGAATTAAAAAACCTAGTTACAAAGGTAAGGCTATCACATATGAGGTAATCAGTAAAACGTAGGATGCAATAGACAGTAAAGTGCTAGGCGATATGCACAGTAGAAAAAAGAGGGGTTGAAGGGCTTTGGGTGGGGAAGAAATAGATGTGCCTGAAATAGTAGGCAAAAACTTAATTGGAGAAGTGGTGGGCCTTAAAGGACAGTTAAGATTTTGAGAGGCCAAGGATGCTGTGAGTAAAGGACTGAAGTTGGAAATGCATGCATAAGGCAAATTAATTCGGTGCACACTGTAAGTGCTGAGCTAGGTGAGTCTTTAAGCAAGGCAAGTGGAAGAAACACTACAAGACATACCGTGTTCCAAACAAAGTTGAGGGAAGGAAAGGAAAAGCAGGAGACAGAACAATTCTGGATTCAGTAAAAATAGACCATCTAGTTTCTTTCAAACAAGAGTTAAGTAATTTGAGGTGCAAAGTTACAGAGCTCCAATTTGCAAACACATCTATAAACAAATATTGTACTGTCAACCAATATGTCCATATAGCCATAGCTAGAGAAGAACTGGTGGTCATAAATTGGTCTTTTCATCCGCAACTGACAACCTAGATAACATCAAAACTAAGAATATGGCCCTGACCGGTTTGGCCCAGTGGATAGAGCGTCGGCCTGCAGACTGAAGGGTCCCAGGTTTGATTCCAGTCAAGGGCATGTAACTTGGTTGTAGGCATATCCCCAGTAGAGGGTGTGCAGGAGGAAGCTGATCTATGCTTCTCTCTCATCGATGTTTCTAACTCTCTAATCCCTCTCCCTTCCTCTCTGTAAAAAATCAATCAATATATATATATATTTTAAAAAAAACTAACAATATGATTTTTATATTTCACAGAAAATCTCTAATAAAGGGAAGGATCATTGAACACATTGGCAAAGTTTCTCACACGAGGAAAGATGGCACTCATTTCATTCAATAATGAAAAACTGAATTGGTTTCATTATTCACTAGAACACTCAGGAGAATAAATTAATATGTAGATAAGGAGATAAGGGTAGATCTCAGAGTTTTTAGAAATTACATATTCAGGGTAGCACACAGAAGGCTGTTTACCATGATATATCATGAAACTTTCTTAAATCTTCTCCCATTCCCTGAAGATATGACTTCTGGCATTGATTTAACTTCCTTGCATAGACAGCACATCTAAGGAATGCTGTTTAGAATCACTGTGGAAACTGAACACACAGCCGAACAGTCCCATCATGGTGGCACTTCTGTTCTTTCCATACCTAAGTGCGCACAGACATAAGAAAGGCCTAGGCCACAGGGACCCTGGGACAGCAAGTTTTAGAAGACCTAGAGTCCCATTACTCTTATTTCATCTTCACAAGACGATGACATGCCTTTGTTATCTTTCCCTAGTGTAAGGTGATGGTCTGAACTCAATCACCTATCTACTGCCCTGCAACTGAGCAGCTGATACTTAAAACAGTGTTCTTTATGTTTGGAAAAACCTTTTCAGAAACTGTGGATAATGTTTATTACATTGTTTCTAAAATTATTTCTATATTGAATATCCTTTGTCCTAAACTTAAAACTGATTAAAACAAAATATACTCTAAATTTGTACAAGGGAGTATTTGAGAACTGGTTTTATCACTAACAGCAGAAGTAGTGAAAAAAAATAAATATTGTAATAGGAGATTCAGATTCAGCTTTGGGATGTTCTTGAAAGGAGATACCTATATCTACATCTATATCTCTCTATCCATTATCATCTATATATCTCCATTTGATAGCCTAGATATGTATTTAGTTAAATATTTTATCTGTTCTGTTTTGTAGTAAATAAAAAAGCCTATAGTGATTATCTAGTTATTCCTTCAGTTTTTCTTATTTCTGTAGTATAGCTTTGCACATTTCTTTTAGTAAAGGACATTTTCTGACTCTGTCGCAAGTACTTAGAGCTACACTGCTCTGCAGTGCCCTCTCCTGGTTCCAAAAGACACTAACAGGCACCTGAAATAAAACACTTAAGGAATACAGAAATGTATTTCATAATAGTAATTTTAGACCTGAAATTGTAAATTTACAGCTATGAAAGGTGTCAGTAGTTGCTCATTCTGTTTATAAACATATCAAAGATGTAGGACTTAAAATGAAGGGTATGGGTGACATGTTTACATAGAGTTGCATTGAAAAAAAAGATTAGTTAAAAAGCTTCTCTTTTTTGGTGGTTTTATTTGTTTGTAAACTGAACACATTCAATTCCACAAGATAACCATTCTTTGACTAAGTTAATTATCAAATATAAATTAAATTTAAATGTCCAAGCATATAGCGATAAACTTTTTTGTCTGAAAATTTTAATTTAAAAGATGTTTCCAGAACTGTGCACTTTAACATGAAATTCAAGAGCCTGGAAGTTCAAATCAATTTGCATAGAGTTAGTGGTTAAATAATTTGGAGCTGAAGGACACAGCAATGAATAGATCTAGCTGTTTTGTTTGCAATGTCTTTTACATATTTAAATCCAGATTCTCCATTTTCTCCATTTACAGTTGAAGATCCTGAGCCATTTAGCCTATAGTTTTTGGAAGTCTGGATTTTGCTAGGTGCACATTCATGGTATAGTTCACATATTCGTCTGTCTTCTGTATTTCCTTTAGGTTGGCAGCTGAATTCAGAGTTTTTTCAGACTCAGATTTGATCCCTTTGGCAAGGCCATAGGTGGAGTCATAGTATTTCATGGGCAGACACGTAATGTCTGGTTGTCTCTCTTTTTGTGATGTTAGTAGTACTGATGTTCACTGCTTAGATCATTGATTCATGCATTTCATAAAAGTATTCCTTTTTCACTTATTAGTTGGAATACTTTTATAATAAAGTACTTCTCCTCATGTATTATTTGGTTACTCATTAGTATAATTCATATGGAAAAGGCAAGATAAATTTGTTTTTTTTTACCTTTACTTAATTTTATGTAATTAATTGGTTTCCTATCAACCTCTTAAGGTGACCAGTTATTACTATAAAAATGTCATTATGAACTCAAAGATTTAAACAGACTTCATTGGTTTCAATCCATTACAATGATATGTTATGGTAGGTCAAATGATCCCAACTGTGCTAATGGGGAGCTTTGTCAAATTGGCCCACAGGTTCTTTTGATGAGACTCTAGTAATCTTTGGCAAAGCTCCCTTGTTCTCAGCTATGACAAGTTGTTCCAAACTCATCTTATATGTGTCCTGTTCCAAATCAACAACTTTCTCTGAAAAGCCCTGGTTTATTTATTGAGAAATGGTGTTTCAAGGTCATAATCTAGACTCCAATGACAATCATTGCTGCAGTTATTCATTGTTTTGAGGATTTTGCCTGAGATTATTCTAATATTTTCCATTTAAATTCAGGACATAAAGTTTTTACCTAATCTCTTCTATATGACATCAGTATCTCCTCCCTGCCCCATTAAGACTCTTGATTATCAAGGACATAGAGGATGACAGAATTAGATTATCTCATAATTACTCATTAGTTTTATTTCACATTTCATAGACAGTATCTCAGAATTACAATACCAATTCTAAAACAAAAATAAAATTAAGGAATATTTTTAAAAGTGTTTTTATATATTCTTCCCGTTCTCCTCTCTTATTTGTATATAAGTACTGTGCTCATATTAGCAGAGCAGAGCAAATAGCTATTACATATTTTGTTCTTCATTTTAATTCTCATGTAGTCATTTAATTATATCTTGAATGCTTACCACTACTTCTTATGTCAATGTCTTAGGGTCATTTTTGGAGTTCATTTTGGTTGTCCAAAGCATGTTTTTTAGTAGTTTCCTCAGGAATGGCTTGTGAGAACCATATTACTGATATCTTACATTACTTACATTCTTACATCTTGATAGCATTCTTTTGCCACTTGTAAACTTAAGGCTCCTTAATTTTTTGTTGAATATGATGCAGATTTATAACTTGTATTAGTCTTTTCAAGGAACAAAATTTTAGTTT